GATTCGGCCATATTAGGGGACAAAGGGGTGTGAGATATATTGGCTAATTTGGTTTGTTATGGTGGTTGAAATATGGTGGTTGTGAAGTGGAAAGGGGCAGGCCAGGGATGGGGTAAAGAGGGGTGAGATATGGTTGTTTGTGATGGGTTTATACGTCCCACACATCTCAACAAATGGGATGTTTTATTCTTAGCTTTGGAGTGTAGTTGTAGGGCTTATTTGGTGGTTAAAATGGAGGGTGTGTATGCTGTTTGGGTAGGGAACAAAGGGGGTCCATGTGTTGGGGTTTATTATGGGGATGATATGTGTTGTTTTGGCTCTTGTGTTTCGGCCAGAATTGAAGGGAAAAGGATGAAATATTTGTGGGTCATTTTGGTGAGTTTAATGGGGTGTGTTTTTTTGATGAGAAAGGGTGGGGGTAAGGGGGTACGGCCTGGGCAGTAAAGAAAGAAAACAGGTTGTTTGGGTTTATTTTAGGGTGAGGAAAAATCCAATGAAATTATGGCTAAGGGTTTGGGTTTAGGAGGGGTAAATTCATTCCAAAAAGGATCGTAGGATTTAGTCATTAATCCGGTAATTTGTTTAAGGACTTTCGTAGGTACCGGGGGTATATCAGGCCGCCCCTCCTTCAAAGTTAGATATGCCTTCAATGTTAGATATGCTCACAAGGAGAAAAGGGGCAAAGATGAAATGATGAACGGCAAACGGCTTTTAGGTATCATCTCAAAATCTCAAAATATACCCCTTATATTATCTTAGTCTTTCAATATTTTTCAAACAGACCTACAATTAAATATACTTTCTCAGATTTGTTCCCTCTCCCACCCTCAAGGCCTCAATTCTATTTTTTTCAAATATGGAACATCCACATTTTTGGAAAATCGAGCGTATGTGAGAATGTGACTGCTTCCATCTTCAGTCATCACTTTGGTCTCCTTTGTCAGTACGATAGTTGTAATGTTTCTATTTTCTAACTTTAAATTTTAGTAATTAATCCAAATTCAATTTATTGACTATTGAATAATTTGTTTGATGACTATTTTTATTTTTTTTCAGAATTTAAATGGACTTGGTAGACCTTTCACGTATTTAAGTTCCAGTTTGTTTCTTAAGTTTATCATTTTGTTCTTGAATGCTTTGATTTAAAATGAGTAATAGAATTAGAACGTTTAAACAAATTTCAAAAAGGGGCTCTTGATAAGTTTGTTATAAAATATTTACTTTTTTCAAGAAATGAGGATCAAACTCTTCAAGCTATGAAAATTGAGAGTGTTGATATTATTGATGTTTCATTTGATATTAATGAAACAATTGAAGTTGAGAACTTTGATAATATTGATGTTGGTTAGGTATTTCTTTTATTTTGTCAATCTTCTTGCAATTAACGTCCATAGGGAGATTTTTTGCAGTTTATATGTTCGATGTTAGGAGAGTGTGAGTTGAGCTGAGCTATGGTTAGAGATGTGCTTTGTAAGTTCTAAACTGTGTCTTCTCATCTATTATGTGTTGTATTTTTCTTTAATGATTTTGTTGATTATAACTAAAAGGACCATGGGAGAAGAGACGGCCATGCGTCAAAGGAGCTAATCCTGCTAGATGATGGTGCTATGGTTTAAAATACATAAAAGGTATTGTTTCTCTTTTGAATTGTCACGGATTAGGGTTCCTTGAGGAAGCAAACGACCATGGCAAAAGGGGAATATCATATTCGTGGGAGACCTTGCAGCAATGGAGGTATCAAATCTCTACTGAATGGCCACTAAGGGGAACACCAAAAAATGGTGTTTTTTCATCAACAAAAAGGGGAATACAAAATCTAAAATTGAAATGAGATGCATGAATTTACCTCCTCATTGTTAGTTTGTCTATATAAAAAGTATCAATTCTCTGCATGAATTTACAGAGCAGTTTAATTGTTGTTACGACATGTGTCATCCTACGTGGCGTTCTATGTGGAGGTTTAACGGATGTTTAGGTTTGAAGCACCAAACTGAAGGGCGAAAATCCCTATGCCGGTCAGCTTCCTCCTCATCACACGGCATAGAACGTCTGACTAAGCTCGCCCGTATCCCTCGCATGCATGGAATGTTCAGCTTCTTTCTTCTCATCGCACTTCTACGCCCGACTAAGCCCGCCCATATCCCTCTCCGGCATAGAATCCACAGTTTCAAGAGTCTTTTGGGTTATCTTTTGCATTTATCATGTATTTGATGGTATTGATAAGAGTTTACAATTGAAAGGGCTATGGGTTTAGGATCCTTGAATTCCAATTATTAGGATGTGTAATGATTAACATTTATTAGAAGAAGAGAGTGGGAAAGCTTTTAGGTATTCACGTGAGCATTGTTGGAGTGTAATTGAGCATTGCTGAGTATTTCATACAATTTGTTGGGGGCTTTTTGGCTGATTTGTGAGGATTTCCGTTCTATCAGTGTGTAATTGGCTAATTTGTTTGCTTTTTTGTGCAGATTAATAATAATTCATGGAAATAGAAACCTCTCTTATGATGCTATCACAGCGCTTTAATCAAAACTATACTCATCCCCTTGATATGTATACCTTCTATTCTACTCAATGGTGCTAGACACCACTCGCCATTTATAGCAGCCTTGAGGTTTCGTGTCAGGGTTTTTCTAAGCTTGCACTCATATTGAGAATTTATATGTTCGACAATTGGTTCATTCTTTAATGTTTTTTTTACAGTGGTGTTTACTTAGTAGAGCTTTCTACATTCTTTAATGTTTTTCTACAGTGGTGATTACTTAGTAGAACTTCCTAATTTGTTTCATTTTTTGGGCAGACTATATATAATTCATGGAAATAGAAACCTCTATTATGATGGTATAATAGCTTAATCAAAATGATACTCCTTGGTATGTATACCTTCTGTTGTTCTACTCATTGGCATCCTTCAGTCTGGTTTTATTGTTAATATTTTTCCATTGCACCCACGCTTCCCGCAAATCCTCATGTATCCGATGGTATCACGAATTGCCAATTTTATCCACTGTGAATTTATATGTATGCTCCTACATGCAGATATAAAGCCAAGAAGCACATTCTGCTAATCATCATGAATTCTATCCAAAAACAACGTAGTATTTTCCTAGCCTGCTAGCTAAAGTCTTCACACTCTATTCATGAATCATATGATGGAGACTCGATCATCTCCTTATTCTTTTTGTAAGTCTTTTTCTATCTTTTCAACACACCTAAAACTGTTTAAAACTTGGTCTAACATAAAAGACACATGGACAAGATGAGTTGTTGGTGGAAATAGGTAGATGGTATATTATAAATCCAAGTTTTGCAGCTTATTCATAGATTCTGAGGAGCTGCAAAAGTTGAGGTTGAGAGGCTGCCATATGTGATGTTGAGGGGCTGCAATATCAGATGTAACTGTGGAATTGACTAGGGGATTTCAGCAGCTTTAGAAACACTTCACAAGGGCTTTATATGATTGACTTTTTTAGAAGTTATTAGGACTCACTGTTTCTGTGGGCTGGTTTAGTGTTTCCAGGGTAATAAGGTAGATTTGAATCAAGTACAAGTCAGGTTTTTGAAGCTGGGAAAAGCAGTTGACATGGGTAGAGCACATAAGACTGTTTGTGGATTCATAGGTTTTAGTTTAGAATTTGGTAAGTCAGGTTGATGATTGGAGTTCTTGCACAGGATTGAAGCTTTTTGGCACACAACACATAGAAGATTATGCTGCTGTATTGGGTGTTGGTAACGGCTGTAGGTGGAGTTAATTCGTATTAATAGAGTGTTTACATAGTTTCTTAAATTGAAAAAAATAGGAGATGAAAAGGTTTTCTGGAGTATATATGAACTCTCACCCTCTTCACTTCAGCGGTAGTTGTCGTAGCTGACCCTGAATCTGTAACTTCTCTCAAAATGACGACCTCTAAGTCTAAATCGGGTTCTGGAGTGGTCCTCCACATGTCCTTCAATGAGCGTCCACAACACGCCTTGGCATGACCGTCAACGTAACTATCTTCTGGGTCATGGCTAGGTACATTGACTCGCTCAGGATTCAAAGTTTTGTTAAGAATAAATTATTCCATAGAATTTTGCAATAACATTTCATTTCCCAAAATATGATATGATTCAATTGAAAATTGTGGTGCTGCAAATAGGGGGAGGAATTGCATCATATTCTGCACAAGTAGAAGGTAAAGGAAATATATGGTGTTATTCGGTGTCAATGCCATGTTTTTCTCTCAACTGCTAACCATTTGATTGTCCTTTTGAGTTTAATATCCTTTAATTTGATTAATGAATGCTATGTAGTCCCTTAATACATGTCATCTGTGAAGCATGGTGTCTTTAAAATGGTGTCTTTAAAATGGGTAGTTATACAATCAAGGTTTGGCTTTCATGGAAATGGGATACTTCCAACCCGAAGAAGAATGAAGGAATTAATAATTAGGACGTGGCATGATTTCAATTGGTGAGGAGTTAGTTTATGCTAGCTTTTTAATATCTTGATTATGTGTGCTTTAAACTCTGGTTAAGTTTGTATACTAATTGTATGTTTTGGTTGTTTGCCTTATATTTCTTATAGTCATGCATGTTAGCAGCAAAGGGAACACTGCTCATTTCTTTGAAGGAGTCTTTGTTGAAGGTGAAGTCTTATTTTAAGAATTTCGGTCTGCTGACAACAAGAGCCAGTATCATGATATGGAACAGCAAAGGTTGCGGCTCTTTGGAAATTTTGTTTAGTTTGTGGTGGAGCACTGACATTCCTGGTAAACCATTTTGATTTGCTTTCTGTTCAAGGTTGAGACTGAAAGAGGCCATAACTACTTACTAAGATTTGGAGTTTTTATACTATAGAATCTATTTGTAAGCGAATACCCTAATATAGGTTACTAATAATTTATTTTCATACTTTGTGGGGTTGTCAGAAATTCCTATATATATATATATATATATATAGGCACGTGATCTGGATTACTATGCCATGAGGGATAAGAGCGTTGGATGGCTTTGAACGGACGCTCAACCTCCTCAGCTTCTCTGTGCAGTCTGCACTCGGTACATGAAAGCTCTCCACGTCTTTGACCTCTTTCAATCTCCGGCCATCCAACATCCAAGAAAAGCTGAGGAAGTTATCGTCGGCCATCCCCCCACGTCAATCACCTCTTTCAATCGGTTTTTCCTATGGGCTGAACGACATCGCCGAAGTCATGACGTGCCTCTGATGTCCCTGCATTCACGACCTCTCTCACAAACAAAGAAACAGGTTGAAGTGATTCAGGCGGCGATTGTGGTGGTTTGTTTTTTGCTCAATTTTTCCTATGGCGTTGCCTAGAGGCGATTGACGTGGCTGGCCCAGCAAGACCACCAGCTGCAACGACTACAACTACAGGTATTCTTCTTCTTCTTCTTCAACTTGGCATCAAGTAAATCCTAAAATTTTCCCCTAATTATTTCAAGCTTGACGGGCAAGATGCAGGTTTTGGTGCAATCGCCTTTTCCTTCATCAATCTCTGGTAGAATTGGTTTACAATACTTCCTGTCCGCTGCTGCTCCCGTTCGTCATCGCCCAAGTAATTTCACCCCCCTTTAATTTGGTTTAGGGATGTTGATTATATAATTTTTGCATGTCTTCACACACAATTCCATGTTGAATTGAAGCAAAGATTTATTTGTTCACGCAAAAGACCCATGTTCCCCGTTCCTTTGATTTGGTTTAGGGATATTAATTTTAAATTTTGCATGTTATCACTCACAATTCTATGTTGAATAAGGCAAAGATATACTGCCTCCCTTTGAAGTAAATCACTCACACATTACAGAAGGTAAATAAATAGGCAAAAACAAACCACGTTTTTTTATGCATAACTCTGAATCTAAAGGCAGTCGGATTCACTGGATGGCGTCCAACACACAATTTTTATTTGTATTTGAGTTTCATCTGCTTAGATGCAATCGAGTTACTGGTTTTTCACATGACGAGTTCGACCTCGCTACAGTTAATGGTGTAACGCCAGGTTTGTAAATTTCCTACAAATTACTCGCAATTTACATGCATCATTATTTGAGTTTTTCCGCCTGCCCAGATTGTCAGTTATTTGAGATTTTCTACCTGCGTAGGTTGATTTTCTTCCTTTGTTTGTAATATATAGGGATGCTCCTGAGAAACTGGTGTGAGCATATAGTGAGGCAGAGGTGAGATACATAGATATAAGCATGGCGTCTTCCCAATGTGGTTCATTGAGGAACATTACTGAAAGATAAATCCCTGTCGAAAGTGTGACACGTGAGTCTGGAGTTTGTATGAGTAAGGTTCGTGTGGTGTGTCACTCACTCTTCTCTGATTAGCTAAATTTACCAATGTCACAATGCCTAAAGGTTAATTGTTTTCCACAATTTGAATGCCCGCTCTTCTATTTTTATTTGTTTCTGCTTGCAGCCTGTTCTCCCATAGTAAACTTAATTTCTGGTGAGACACAGTGTTCCCAATGCACCACTTTGATTTAATGGACTTTGATAAGGTATGCAAGAATGGGCCAATATTACATGCTTATAGCTTATTTTGTCTTTTTAAATGTGTGTCTATATTGTTGCTGGTTTAGTCAAATTTATATCCTATAGAATGAAAAGTTTTCACAGACGTGCTCGGCCATGTTTGCACAGTGGGAAAAGTATTGGCGAAGAAAATTATTGGCCTCAAGTGTGTGCCTCATGCTAGAGCTTCAAGATTTAAGGTGTGCCTCTTCCTTTTCTCTTTAATCATGGCATACTTTGATTTCTATTGTGTTGATTCTAGGCTAAATTTCATGGCTAGGGCATGGATAGATGAAACATGTATACTCAAATTAGTAAACAAAGGGCTAAATTTCATGATACGGTCGCTGATTAACCCAGTTTGTCACCCACAAATCTTCCTGTCGTAGGAATTGGCTTACATAACAATTTCATTTAAAAAAACATGAATCTGATTTATCTTTTCATTTCTTTTTGAAGACGTGAAAATGATTTATGCACCATACTTCCACGGTTGATTGATGTACAGTAGCTTAGGAGGCTTATCATGATGGGCGTGAAGCAAAATCTCTGGTGGGCCTTTGGCTATAACATTGTGGTTGTTTAATTTCTTTAAAATCATCACATCCTAATTCATAGCCATTCAAGTTTGGTAATTGCCATTATTTTTGGGATTACCCTTATCCATTTGGCCCATTCCTAAATTCAATGTGTTGACCCTCTAAGTGGCTACACAAAAACTTCATGTGAGATAGTCTCAAAACTTTTACTGTAAAATCTATCACTTCTGTTCTCAGAATAATACTAACAATAAGGTTGTAGAAATTTTCCCCTACCTCCTCTTTATCTGCAACCTTAATTTTGTTCGATTTTATTTTAAAGTTAAAAGTACTAAATATTTTCCTTGCATGACCTTATTTATATCTTAAAAGTTCAACGATTATAATATTTATTATATACGATATGATGCGCTTTGAGTGCCCAATTGTTTAGAAGTAAAAGCATCTCTTATGCAGCTAGAGTAGTTTTAATCTACTTAATGCTCTTTTACACTATACATTCCAAAATGTCTCTATAACTATAAACATGTCTATGAACTCTTTAGTGAAGCTTAACATCACCTACAAGTTTACAATTTTTTCTAATCGGGGGACAAGTTGTTGCGAATTGATGGGTGCTACTACAAAAAGAAGAGGAAAAAATTGCAGGTATTTTTCATGGATCCTTTTCTTTCTTTCTTTTTGCATTTTTTCATTTCAATTTCATATTGATACTCTGAGACTACGAGAATCTATTTTCACATCTCAAAGGTGTTTGACACGATAAAAGGAAGAGGTGCGTTGATTTGTTTTAATCCATTTAATACACCACTTATTACCTAGATATTAAACTTTCATTTTAATCCCTTCTGATCACATATCTACTTTGGTATGTTTAAGCATCAAATACTTCAGTTGAATTTTTGTTATTACTTTACTTTGATCTTAAAACCTAATATTTGGTTTTCAAACACGGGTAACCTACAGCTGCAATATAGGAGTGTAAAGCTCAACTAGGCTGTGATTTGTTGCAAATTGATGGGTATACTGTAAAAAGCAGAGGAAAAAATCACAGATTTTTTCATGCATCTTTTTCTTCCTTTTTGCATTTTTTTCATTCCAATTTCATATTGCCACAGAATCCTTAAAATGTGTGTAGCTATGAATCGATGGGTGATACTGCAAAAAGCAGAGGGAAAAATTGCAGGTATTTTTCATGCATCTTTTTCTCTCATAAGAAGACAAAGTCAAATTATTTTTTGCAATGCTAGACTTAAATGTTCTATTGAAAAATAATGCACATGCCTTCAACAACATATTCATTATTTTCACTCCCATTTTTTTTTGCACAACTGGGTTGTTCCATTGAGGGGTCGGGAGCATATTTGCTATACAAAGAATTGAGGTTGGTGAATTTAATTCGCTTATTGATTAAATAATTGATTTGGTAGAAGCGTCTATGTTATACTGACCGAATGATGAAACATCTTCCCACCTGCAAATTTATTAGCCCATATTTGATATTTCAAGAAAATGCTCCAGAACTCTAAAGCCTCAAGTTCATAATAGAAGAATTATATTTCAAAATCAGTTGCCTTAAAAAAATTTGGTCTACATGAGATTCTTTGTTAAGTACATTTACCAAAGGGCTAATCAATGAAAAAGAAGAAGATACACTTGATCAGTGGTAATTATGTGTGTTTTTTCATTTTCAAAAGTGAATTCTAGCTTTTAAATGAATTTACTCTCATATATTACATGTATTTATGAAGAAATTGAAGTTAGTTTTGTTGAAAAACATTATTATTCTAAACCCAACTCAAGGCTGAAATGTTTGTGTTCAAACCCAATCATATGGTTTTACAATCTATGAATACAGATCTTTATTAGTGTTGGGATTTAGCTGTCAAATATCATTTGGTTTACTATATATAATTACATATTGAACAGGTGAAAAAAGAAAGCTTGATATTTTGCTAACAAGGTCTACCTGTAAAAGTTTAATTAGGTTTGGCTGTGCAACTTCTATATGTAGTTTGATTCTGTTTCTGTTTGCTTCGAAGAGTCNTAGCTTTTAAATGAATTTACTCTCATATATTACATGTATTTATGAAGAAATTGAAGTTAGTTTTGTTGAAAAACATTATTATTCTAAACCCAACTCAAGGCTGAAATGTTTGTGTTCAAACCCAATCATATGGTTTTACAATCTATGAATACAGATCTTTATTAGTGTTGGGATTTAGCTGTCAAATATCATTTGGTTTACTATATATAATTACATATTGAACAGGTGAAAAAAGAAAGCTTGATATTTTGCTAACAAGGTCTACCTGTAAAAGTTTAATTAGGTTTGGCTGTGCAACTTCTATATGTAGTTTGATTCTGTTTCTGTTTGCTTCGAAGAGTCTTAGATTTGGCTAAATTATTGGTGATGAAGTTGGAGGATGTATATACAACAACTGCTGTTTCCTACACCTAGATTCCAAAATTTATACTCAAATTTTGACCTGGTTGTCCTTTGTTGAAACTACACTTGAGTTTAATAAGATTGAATACTGGTAATGATGTTTTTTTGGTTTGTTTGGCTATTGGATGGCAGATTTTGCTTTAATCATTATTTTTGATTGAGATAATTGGTGTTGTCGTGTTGTAGTCGTTGGAGCATGAGAGCTTGGAGTTTGGTTATAATGCTGGATGTTTTACTTTGAACTAAAAGAGGAAAAAAAGGAAAAGAAAAAAAGTAGAACTACAGTCTTCTTATGGGCTTCTACAGGTTCTTACACTCTTCTACATTTTTTAAATAAAATTATTTTTTCAAAAATTAAACTACAACACTACTGAATATCTTAAATTTGGAGTTCTTTAAAAAAATTGAGAGCTAACATACTTATAAAAATGATCATTTCTACTCGGACAACACACTACGCCTTTGAGTATTCATCTATTTTGTCCATCAAATATACATTTAAAAAAACGGAAACAACACTCGCATAAATCACGAGCCCGTGCAAAGCACGGGGGAGAAAACTAGTGCTACAAGTATACCACGCTTGCTGTTTCTCCACCAATCTTGTTAGGCTGTGATGATATTATAATATTCTTAGGAGATTCATGGGTTGAGGAAGTTTGATCTGTATCTTGGCAGGGCAAATCAAGAAGAAACTGAGGTTTGCAGCCATGGCTGTATCTTCTTTCCTTTACCCATTCAAATAAAATGATCTGAGCCCCATATTTTCTAACACTCCGGTCTTGTTTTTCTTTGAACTTTTTTTTTCAACTCAATGTTTTTAGTTCAGTACTTTTTTATTATCAATTAAAACTAAACTATACACATTTAGTTCAACATTTTAATTCAACACTTAGGGGTTGTTAAATAGCACTTATTATCAGTACTGTTCAGTAGTGCTTACACTGCTTAGTTCAAGATTACACTACAATCACTTCAGCACCATCATTTTAGTTCAGTACCATTGTAAATTCAACGGCTCTTTATTATAAATTTTAGATAAGCGCTATTTAAAAGCCCCTTATTGTAAATTTCAGTCTAGAAGAAGAAACCCTTCATTGTGGTATACATCTTGAATTCTTAAGTAGATTAAGTGTTTTAGACTCATTTCTTCCTTTCCTCAAACCAAACACACTTTTATGCATAGGGATTAGGGCTTCTTTAAGTGCTGGTGGCCATCTCGATTTTCTACTATGCCATTGATTTCTTCTTTAAATTTCAGTGTCTCCTTCATGGATGATCATAATGTTATCTCCCTTTCATGCTTTAGTCTTTTCAGAAAGCATAGGGCCCTTTTATGCGTGGTTTCCTGTTTGTAGGTTTGGAAGTCACATTCAAGTTATTTACCAAAAAATTGGTTTTTGGATACATTCTTGATTCTTTAAGATGATATTTAGACAATTGGTTTTGATGTACCACTATGGTTGGTGCTGGTGCAGGAGGTAGAATCTATTGCTGATGCTTTTGATTCAAGGCATCAAACCCATGATGGATTCAGAATCTCATCTTTTTTTTATGACGATTGTGATGGGAAGGGCCTACCACGTAAAACATTTTCACATGCTTTTTTGCATGAATTTACTATTAATTAGCCTTAATTGAAACTATAAATTTCATCGGACTGACGGTTACTAGTTGGGATTATGCCGGATGATGAATATGAATCTTCAAGTGGTAGCCCAGAAGGTATTGAGGCCGAAGAGAGATTAAAATTTTGTTTTAAGGGTTGTTCCCATTCTCTCCTTGGCCTACGATTTCCATCTTCATCACAAATCCAAACAACCCTTTGATCTTTTCTGCTACAGAATATATACTAGGAAAAATAAATCTCTTGGAAACTAATATGATTGTGATGCTCTTTTGCTTTGCGTTTCTCTTTCTTGGTTGCTATCGTGTGACCCGTATCCTGGCTATAGAATCTGGAATTGCGCCTTGTTATTTGAAGCCATGGCGGTGTTGGCTTACTATTTTTCTACAAAGATCTAGATCTGAGCCTCACCAAATGCGTTTTGTTTAGGCTCTATTTGGATCATGGAAAACACTAGAGCCAGAAAAAGAAATTTTAAGGAAAAGTATTTTATTGTGTTTGGTTTTCTCTTGAAAATTCAAAGGTAAATGGAAAATCATTGTTTTTTGTACTTGTTTCCAAATTCTCCCTTCGTCCCAAGTTCTCTTTTGGTCATTTTGACCGTAAATGGAAATCCTTTCTGATTTTGACTTTAATTTCCAAATTTCCTTCCAAGCGTGTTTGGGTCAAACATGACGTTGAACTTGGGCATGGATTTCAAGATTTCCTATGAACAAGTCTGTAGATCCATGGGGATTTCTAAGGGTGGTTGTCCATCTCAGAGTGTCAATGATTTCCCAAAATAAAAAGATCCTTAATATGTTTATGATGCATATACCATCTGTCTTTTCTTCATCAACATATCGGCTATTGGACGGGGCTCATGCAACCACTATAGTCAGTGCGAAACTGCTAATGGCACCTCAGTGACTGGTAAAACAGTGATGTTTGTTTATGTGAGTCTGTGTGCATGGATAATTGGTCTGCTGATGGCTGGGTGGTCTGGGATTATGAGATTTTCTTGTGAGACCAGGATTGCAGGCTGCAATCACTCCTTAGGCTGTTCTGGCGGACTCCTAACCTTAGGAATGCAGTTTTTTTCTCTCATGCGCTGATCATTATGCCTGGCTTGCGCATCCCTCCTTGCCAATTACTACCCTATTACGGATCATTTTGAAATTTAATCCGTAATAGGTAGTAGTAATTATACTTTGTATCAATTTATGTTGCTCACTGACTTGACATAGACTAAGAAAGTGAAATCTGTGTGAGCAAGATAAACTGGGACAGGCCAACAGGATAACAAGCAAGATGGATTTTTTTTTTTGAATAAGGGCTGTGATTCTGGGACGAAAGATTTGATAATTTTTAGGCAATTCTTGCTATATATGCCATCCATCCCTAAATAAGTATAGTTTTAAATAAATAAATGTTATAAAATGCACCTAATTTTATTAAATAAATATAGTTTATGAAAACTAAATCTTAAAATGCACCTAATTTTATTAACTTTACATCATAACTAAATACATGTTTTACAATGTGGTCAAAGTTTTGTAAAATTTGACCTAAAAAGTCAAACAGTGCATTTCATTTTACTTGGTGTAAGGATTTAGGAGGGAAAGGAAAAGAAAAAGCTTTCTCTCCTTTTTCTCACCAAAATAGAAGGAATTTAGTTTTTCCTTTTCTTAGTTCATTTTTTCCTCACATTTTCTTCTCCTTCCACTTTTCTTTTTTTTCTTTGCTCTTTTTTTTTTATTTTTTCTATTCCTCTGAAACCAAGCAAGAAAAATTATTTTCCCCATTTTCTTCAGTTTTCCCATTCAAATTCCTTAAGCAAAACATAGTGTTAGGGAAGGAGTAGTTCACGTTTTGATTCATCTCGGTAGGCCTCAAGATTTTGGTAGGCTGTGACGATGACTGCATAGAGTTTTATGGGTAGATGAAATCTGTGCCGTATCTTGGCAGGGCAAATGCAGATGAAACTGGGAAATGCAGCCATGGCGGTCTTTTTCTTTCACCCTCTAACATTAAAGGATCTGAGCCTCCATAGTTTCTTACAATTATTACTCCGTATATACGGAGTATTTAACTTCTCAGCCTTCATTACCCCCTCTCCTCCTCAAACCAAACACACCTTTACCATTTGGAGTTTTGGTCAAAGAAGAAATGAACTTTGAATGAGGTTTGCAGAGAGACTTTGGTTTCTTGAAGGGCGGTTGACCCTCTCTGCTATTCTATTGATTTCATCTCCAAAAATTAACAGCCCTTTCGTGGATTGGAAGACGTACTTCAGGTTCTGTTGTTCTGATGCTTACTTCCTGTTTCCATGTGTGATGATGATGATGATTATTCATTATGATAATGATTTCAACAACAACAACAACAACAATAATAATAATGATCTTCCGCTCTTTTCTCTTATACTTTTGTACACCAGTATCCTGAGGCTATGACGAAAATGGTCACTTTGTCGCTGACCCAATTGATTAGGATTGGGTCAACACATACTCTAATGTGGCGGGGCAGGCATGCCAACGAGCATCTCTGCAGCCATTGCGTGTCCGAACTCAGAACAATCATCCCCAGCACTCAAATGAATTGATGATGTCAAAGGGTGTTATACCCCGGGTTACTAATATGGAATCCCAAGTCCTTAAACAAATCAATGGATTAATGTCTAGGTGTCTTGATCCTTTTTGGAATGAATTTATCATCAAAACCCAAATCCTAGCCATAGTCCTTTTGGATTACTAAAGGCCGAACCAATCACCCCAAAACAACCCAAACCACCATCAAAAGGAGACCATCCTGTACTCCCCTCTTTGGCCGAAAATCCTTCTCCTNCTTAAACAAATCAATGGATTAATGTCTAGGTGTCTTGATCCTTTTTGGAATGAATTTATCATCAAAACCCAAATCCTAGCCATAGTCCTTTTGGATTACTAAAGGCCGAACCAATCACCCCAAAACAACCCAAACCACCATCAAAAGGAGACCATCCTGTACTCCCCTCTTTGGCCGAAAATCCTTCTCCTGTTTTTCAACAAAATTATCATGTTTTTGACTAAAATAAATACTTAAAACCCACCCCATAATCTGGCCAAAATCCCTGTCCATTTTAAGTCAAAAGGTGAACAGTAGCTATTTGTCTCTTTGTTGACTTCTCTCACAATCAAACAAAGAGAGTCATTCTCCTTTCTTTCCTTCAATCAAAGCCGAGCTAGGCCATCCAATAAAACGAAGGAAATCAACTTTTATAATCTCCATATTTTTTTTCTTGAAATCACACACAAGATGACAACATCCATAATGTATAATCACCCAAAACCAGCCACTTAATATTCCACTCTGTCCCTTATCATATGGTCGAACTCTTCCTCAAAATAAGTCAGAAGAAATCACTTTAATCAATCATAACATCTTGTGATGATCCTCCCATATATGGTTGAATGAGACAGCCCTTAAACCAAGCCAAACAAGAT